CAAACAAAGCAGAATAATTTTTCTAAAAAAGACCCTGAAGGTCTGGTGACATTAGAACAGCTATCCTCCATGGCAGGAATAACAGTCTGGAGTTTACCAACACCTACCCTCCTCTCCCAGCTATATGAATACCTCCCACCTCTCTCCGCTTTCCCACAGCTAAGACCCAGCCGCTCTGCTCAGTTAGACTTCTTGCTTGTCTGTGCAGGAATTGAGGAGGTCATGGCCTGGATGGACTTACATGTCCACAGGGGTGGGGAGAAGAAGCACACTGCACAGGAACGCGGAGAAGTAGTTCATCCTGCGTGTGGGGACAGGGCAGCAAGACCTTCTGCAGAGCTGGCCCTGGAAGAGGCCTTGCCAGCCTGGACAAGCAGAGCAAGGGGACCACTCCCCGCAAGCCACCCACTCGCCCGAGTCCCGGGAGTGTGCATGTCAGCCATTGCAGACTCTCCCCGTCACGAATCGCTCCTCCAGTACGACCCCTGACAGAGAGGCCAGAGCCCAGTGCCCCATGATGGCAGGTGAAGCTGAGGAATAAGTAACTCCTTGGACTTTTCTCCTGTATTTTTTTTTTTTTCTTTTTGTCACATCTGCATTTTGTTTTCTCTCATTTCGAATGTTTCCCAACACATCATGTTTAGTGAGGTGTTTAAGACAGACTGAGAGATGCCGTTGGAAACAATGTTTTATAGCACAGTTTGTGTACTAGTTTATTGCCAAATTAAAATAAAGATGTGATCTGGCAGACTCGGCCTGCTGCTAAGTGGTTTTCTGTATCGAGGCAAGAAAGTGGGGGGAAACTAGCAATGAAGTGAAGCACTGAATCTGCTTTGTCCTACTTACTTGGTTTCCTAATGCACAGAAACCAAAAGAACGAGCAGAATGTTTGGTTTGCCCACTGCTTAAGTACACAAATTAAAAAAAAATACAGAAATAAATAAAGGAAAGTAAGATTTTGGTGCTCCCATATTAAATGCCATGAAATTCTTCATCGTGTCCACAGTGATTCACTATTTTGTTTTGTTTTTTCCTATAAGAAATATATGGGCTGTGACTTTACATGACCATTATCTCTCCTCCCATTTGATACAAAATTTCTACACTGTCTGTAATGTTTATTTTTCTGGAAATTCCAGGGTTTTCCGAAAGCACATCTTCACAAAGACCCTTCAGAAACAAAGGACACTAGCTCCCATTTCTACACTGTGTGATTCCCCCAACAGGGCTTCCTAAGCAGTCAGGCAACTTCTTTTAGAACTTCGAAAGGAGAAAAAGCTTCTAACGTTTCCCCTTCTGTCATTTTAGTGGTGCCTAGAGAGTCATGTGGCAATTCAAGAAAGGGTTTACCTCTTGGCAATCACTTCAACACTGAATACCTAAGAAAAAAGACTAAAATATCAAAATACCCTGATTTTATGAATTCTGAAAGCATCTGATCACACACATTTCTCCCTGATTAAAAGCCTTTTTTAAAAAATAAAAATAAAAAAACCTGGCTTCCTATGGAAGTAATGGCCAGTAAAACTCTATCTTGGGCCAGAAAGGATAGTCTGCTCAGCAAAAATCTTTGAGTCTCTTAAAATGCTCACATCAAAAAAGCCTCCACTGGGTATTCAGGCATTCAAGATGAAATGTGGTCACAGTAGAACACCACAGCCCATGTGGGCTCCATCCTAGAAGCCAGAGATCCAGACTCTGCCCTCAAGGCCTTACAAGTCTCATTCATCGAAGGAGAGAAAAGTAATGACAGAGAAATAAGGAGGAAATGAAGGTGGTTATGTATTCAAAAGAGCAAGAGTATGCCTGAAAAGGCAACAAACACGAGAGAAGAAAGGAGGATTCTGTTCACAGGTGAGTTCTAAAGGCATTGCCGTCTCAATAAGTTACTTTCTAAGAGACAGTGCATTTTGCCTGAAAATTGTGTTCACCATAGGATGATATAAAAACAGCATCCAGCAGAGCCAACATTAGCACTGAGGCTAAGCTCATAGCTGGGAGTTTTGCAGCAGCAGCAATAGCAGCTGTCACAGAAAAATCGATGAGCAATACTTACGTGAAAGAACGAATGCTCCTTTTTCCTGGGCAAATATAGTCGTTGGTCTGCCAACAACAGCATGGGGCTCTCCTTGGTGCTCACAGCTGCATCTCATTGGCGTTAAAGGCTCCATGATTCATGGGTGATTGCCAGCTATTATTTCCATATCATTGACCCACCTGAGTGGCCACGGACTCTCTCAACTTGACTTCTAGCCATCTCTGTCAGCTAATGGCTCATCTGATGGCTACAGCCCACTCCTTTCCCAGCTAATGCCCCACTCTTCATCCTGTGATTCAAAAGTCCTGAGATATAGAGTGCTTTTGCGACTCCTATTTGTACTAATAGATTATCCATACTTTTATCCAGGACGATTTCTCCTTCATTCTCTCCCGGAGAAACACAGATTAGCAGGAAGGCTGGTTTCTGCCCATCTACTAATCTCAAGATATCACCCTCAAGAATGAAAACTCTACAGAATTTCATGTTAAGGTTTTAATCCATTCACTGATCTTTGACATGTGATACCAGTGAGTAGGTTTTCTCTTTGAAAAAGTTCATTAACTTTTTAAATTTTTGGTTCATGAGCTACATACAGAACAAAAACTGTTAAGGCTTCTTCCAGCTCCAAAATGATAGTCTTCATTTGGTCCATGATGACAAAAGATACTTTTTGGTTCAGACCAGGATGGCCGTGATATCATCACCTCATCTTCTTGCTTTTGACCTCATATTACCACATTTCATCCTCATATTTCTACCAGATTAACTTTTATAACCTATAACTCTGAACACAGCATTCCACAGATGTGGAATTTTCAAATTAGGAAATTGCCTAATTAGAAAAAAAAAAAAAAAATTTTGCCTGACAACCAGTCAAAGCAGTTAAAAACAATCAAGATTATGTTCCAAAAGTATATAATTAGCTTTACCAAATTTCAGTTTCAGTCACATAGACAAATTTACAATCTTGTAAACATAGTTTTTTTTTTAACTCTGTGTTATTGTTTATGACATTCCTCTCCTGTAAATGTGCCTTCCTAAAAGAAACATGACATGTTAATTAAGGTCCAGGTAAAATCATTTCATGAGATCTTCATCTCCTGAACTTTGGGCTGCCAATTTCAAATAATCGATCCAGCTATATTGTTTTGGTATCTGTTATATGCGAATGAGGCTACTGTTTTTTTTTTTTTTGGCCTCTTAGATTATTGGCGAATTCACGTGTATTTAATCTTCTCTCTTCAGATGGATTGAATGCTCCTTGCTATAGTGATATTATACCAACAAGACACCATGCAAAGTACCTGAAATGGATGTGGAGTTTAATATTTGTGTTTGTTCAATCTTTTTGGAAGTGCTCCTGCAATTATAATTATACATCCCAACACATTTTACAGCAAAGGAAGTCAACACTAAGCACTGCTCACTGTAAGTGGCCCAGAAGTCCTAACTCTTCTAGCATTATCCACATTACTGCAGTCATCACGGGAGGTACTATTTAAAGTGCTGGAACATGAAGGGTTATACTTTGGGGCATCTCCTCCAGCACAATTGCAAAGATGCATAGTTTTCACTTAGCCAGGTAAATCTGGCCCTCACTGTGCCTCTAGCATCATGGGGAAAATTAACCAACTGTCAAATAAAATACAATAACTCAGTGGATTAAATGACTAATATTCTGTGTCCTGAGCTTCTCAGCCTTGCCTCTAGCAACTGCACCATCCTGGACCAGATGCACTGTGGCTCGACTCCAGGAATGAAATTGTATATTCTGCTGAAAGGGTAGCCAGGCTGCTCAAGAGGAAAAAAAAAAAAAAACTAATTGTAAATCTTTTCTATTTTTAGGCTTAATGTGCATTTTATTTGGCAGGAAGGGCAGAACGAATAAAATTCCCAACCTAAGAATTTTAATTTGCTTCCTACAAAATGCTTGCATCGGTAGAGACCTTGGAAAGTTTCTTATATCATTCCACTCACTGCAGGAAGGACCCCACACATCTCCACCAACCCAAACAGATAAAACCCTACAATATCCTCCTCAGTCGTGTGAAGTCCAGTGTTTCTTTAAATATGCATAATTTCTAACATGTAAGTCCTCTAAGGAGAATTCCAAGAATGACTTCACTGAATCATGCATTTCACAAAGAACATTCCAATATATCACTACTATCCTTTTGGCTTTTATGGCTAGAGTTGCTCTCTCATGTGCCAGTGTATATGATGTTTCTTTTACTTTTGATTTAATTGTATTTTTTTTTTTTGTTCATAGCCTTATATTCTACCTAGGAATGTAAGTTCTTTAAAAGCAGGGGTTATATGTATTTTATAGTCTATCTACAGTATAGAGGACATGTTATATTTTATAGTATGTATCACATAAAATATATACACACCTATCACACGCACAGACACAGACATGGAATAGCATAACCTCATTTGATACTTTCTTAACAAATTGGAATTCTTCTTTAATGCAACTGGCAAGAGAAGAAAAGTTCTGAGATAACCTGGTTCTGAATAATGACACCTGTGCCCACTATTATTGTTCCTCTGGTCATTTCTCTCACTGTTTTAGCAAATTCCTAGTTAGCGTCCTGAACCTTTAGGGGGTCATTCTTCCCCTTAAGGATTTGAGAAAAGCTTTCCTGATTCTTCATCCACAAGAATGATCACCTCTCCACATACCCAAAACACTGTCATGGATTCCATGGGGGTCAGGGGTTCTCCACGGTGCATTTCTTAGTGTCTAGCTTTTCCTGTGCACACTGTCACAGGCGTTTACACAGCTCAAGCAAACAACCTGAGAGCCTCCTTGCTGCCCATCGCCCCACTGGCACACAGTTCAGGCTACTGCACAGACCAAAAATGATCATGGGGAAGAAATGCGGGGATGATTAACCAGCGGACTTCTACTTGGGGATCCGTGAGCTGTTGTCTCAAACGAGGCACTCATGCTTACCTTTTGGTCTTGGCTGTATGCCAGAATCCAGTCTTCTTGCTTAGGATGAAAAAGCAAACTCTGGATGTAGAAGTTCAGCCGGTACTTTTGATAGGTGGCTCCTTCATCTGAGCTGATCAATAAACTGCTCTCAATCTCTGGATCCGTGAGTAACAGAATCTGCAGCAAAAAATTGTTGGGGAAAGAACATAATGGACAGTCAAGTTTACAAATTCCCAAAACTTAAAAATGAGCTAAAATTTTGACAAGGGAGACAAAAGGGGCAGGCAAAGAACACTTGGCCAAGCAGTGACCTTGACTCTGTCAAGGTTGTTCTCATTATCTTGGACCAATCGTGTGAAATGATTTTTACTAGAAATGAAAGAGGCAGGACAAGTTGGAAGGAAGGGGGAGACAACAGTGGATTGTATTTTCTTCTTCTCTACAGGGTTCCTTGTTAAATTTTTTTCCCAAGGTTATTTCCTTAATCGAAAATATTTTCCACTGTTCTTCTAACCTCAATCCTCCTTCCCATTGTTGTATCTACTTTTCATCTGTAGGGGATAAAAGAGCAAGACTTGTCACAGTGTGTTGTGGGAAAGGTGGATGTAGCTGCTGGTTTTTCTCCTTTATTGCAGGCTTCTTGTTCACATCAACAATGTCTCATGTACGAAGGCCATTTTATCACCTTCTAACCTGTTATATGATTTACTTGTTTATTTTGTTTATTGTCTATATACCCTCTACTAGAACAGAAATGCCATGAGAACAGGGATATTCGATATTTCTTTTATTATCTTCCCCACAGATATATTCCTAGAAGCTAGAGTAAGGCCCAGCATATATTATATTTTCAATAAGAATTTGTAGAGTGAATGAATGAATGGAAAGCATTTTCATAGTCTTCATGTGAAACCGAAAGATGCCCAGAAGAGTTTGAACAAATCTAAATGGCAGGTCCACGGAAAGAGTAGCAAGATGTCCTTCTCAATCTTTAGCCTATTGACCAGTGAATATGCTCTATGCTTCGTTCTTCCGTTAGCATGGTTAAGTTTTCCCAGAGTGGTGTGAATGATCCACAACAGGAACAAGATGGACAAGCTGCCCTGCAAACTGATTTTTATTCTCTCATTTTATGCCTCTAGGAATGTGTGATAAAATGCCTCATCCACGAATCTCTGCAAGGCTCCTTACACTCACTCAAAAGTGCACACCTAATGCTTCCAGACAGGTGGCCTTAATGCTGCCCACTGACATCGTTCCCACCAACTTATTAATTGGCACTCTCTGATTTTGGTTCGGAGAAGCATGAAAGATATGCTTAATGTGTGGCTGTATGAAGAGAAATCACTGCAGCCCGGGATTTAAAGATTATCAGTCGAGGATGTGGCGGTTCCAGGGGGAAGAAACGGGGGAGAGAGAAGGAGAGAGAAGATAGAACCATGCCATAGAAAAGTAGAGTGCCAGGCAAGCACACAGAGCTTTCTCAAGCATTTGGACGCAATCATATTAAAACCTCTGGATTGTTAGTGTCATCTTTGAAAGTGGTGCCCCGTGACTATAAATAGCACATGAGGACCATATACCAGACATACTAGGCCCAAACTGCATTTATGCTACCCAGGACAAATGTAAGGTTCCTTATTGTTCTTTCAAACTTCCCTCTTGAAGAGGACAAAAGATATGATGTGCAGCGAGCGAGTGCTGTGGCTGTCAGTGTCACTCTGGATAAGATGGGAAGCACGCACAAAATTGGAAGCTAATTGCCTCTCCTTCCATGTTCCACTGAAACCACTGTCCCCAACCATACATTCTGACAAAGTTATAGTTTTCTCTGTCTCCCATTCACCAAGCACATAGCATTCCTTCATTGGATGGATGACAGGGAGCCATCGGGTAAATACAAACTCACACGGCTTCATTAAAATCTATTGTATGCATTAAACAAGAACGTTCAGATGGCACCTAAATTCACAAGAATATTTCCAGGTGATTTCATATTTACTGGCACATAAAAGCTGTGGTTTTCCAAATAACACATAAGTCACCAAATGATCAGATTGCTTTGTGTATCTGATTATAATTAACAATAATATGTAACAACCTTTTTTGCACTACTCCCAAAAGTAATTTCCATAATATGAAGAGGCTCAATTTTAAAGAGCATCTATTGTCTCAGGCAAGGTGATTATTTCTACCTCTGATATTTTATTTCCCTGTTAATCAGAATATATTTTCCTCTCTTGCCATGAGTACAGAGCTCACCACCTGCTTCTCCTGGCAGACCACCTCAACAAAACAAAAACACTAGGCCTACAGAATATCCTGGAATCAAGTTGATTTTAATCATCATTTATTTAAAATATTTTTGATACTCATTTATGCTCTAAGTCATCAGACTTTCTAAGATGATTATACATCCAGGTAATATTGGATAAGGGAGCGGGGAGTTAGAATAATGCAAATATTTTCAAACCTATGGCTACTTAATATTGAATAAGTGAAGTGCGTGGCTTCCTTGGCTTTATTTCTGAGTACAGAAAATATGTAGACCAAAATCTCATCTTCTCTAAACAATCCTTACCTGAAACCGTCTGTCTGGGAATTTGATATTTTAGAAATGATGGAAGATGTTAGCGAATTCACTCTGTAAGATTTATAAGTGTTTCCGTATTATACAAAACTTCCAGTGGTTCTTCTCTCAAACCTCTGCTCAAATCCACTTAAAACAAATAGGTCAATTAGGATCCATTTTTGTTTAGCCATTTTTTTATTGCACAAACAACTTTGTAAGACCACCAGTAGAATCCAAAATAAAAGAAAAAATTGCTCATGACGCTGTCCCTTCAACAAATTAAACGATGTGCTCCCTTCTACTTCTTTTATCCATATCTATATGTCATATCATCGGTTGAGTTTTTATTCTGATTTTTTTAATTTAATATTTTGGCCTATAGTCATTTCCATCTGAACGATAAATGCACAAATGCATGCACAGACATACATTAATATACACCATTGTGTACACTATATTAATCACAACCTTCAACATAAGCAGGTTAATATTGATGCATTTAATACATTGTTGTTAACTGAATAAGTGAAAAATCTTATTTCAGTCTTCAAATTTAAATCCATTAGTAATTTTATTTCTAGTTAGTTGAAGTTTGTTCTGTCACTTTGTAGGGTTACTAAAAGTAAATATGTTAACAAGTAAATAAAAATTTAAGCAAGATATAAATAGAAAATGTTTAACCAATTTGAGAAAAAGAAATAATGTAGATAATACATGCGACACAATCCTTAGACATGATGTTGTTTACAAATAAATAAGTCATACATTCTCAAGAAAGTGTTTGATTGGGACATAGCAAAATGATAACTTCGAGTTAGTGAATACTCCTCAAAAATTAATAGCATTCCTTAAACATGTCCAATGATCACTGTTTTTTCTTGTTTACACTGGCTTTCTACCCACTTATAGCTTTTCATGTGACTTTGAATAAATGGTGGTTTGCTGTGTTTAATCATATGCATTCTGGAATTTGACCCAAATGACAGAATTTTAGGAGGACTTTGTAAAAGGCATGAATCTACACTTTGCACAATTCCTGGAGTGAGCTCTCTAAAAATATGGGTCATTGTTTGCTTGGTATAAAGCTTGATCTATAGCAGGTCTATACATCTTTGTAAATGAACAAATGAATGAGTGAATAGGTGAGTCCTCTTCATCCCTGCCTTCTGCTAAAGGCAGCCCATGGACTCTTGTGACACTGAGAGTCTAAGTTCTCTCAGATAAATCCCTGCTGTTCTAGCTGGCAGCAAGGAGGGGAGAGACAAGGGGAAGAGTCTGTCTTTAACAGGAAAGTAATTATTATCTGTTCAGATCAGCCCATGAGTGATTAGAAGCAGTTTACTGATGCCTTGCAGGGTATGCAGACTGCACTGACTGCGTCTGCAGATGAATTGTTTTCCATAGAAAGTCAATAATGGCGACACAGGCTTTCACCATCTACCTCTAAGCAACCATTCATCATCCACTTTGGGTGAAGGAAGAAACTTTGTTTGCTTTTCCTAGAGGTGACAAATGAACATGAAATACAATTTATAGATTTCAAATATGTCACTTCTCACTTTTTGTGGTATTTGTCCTTCTGACAGCTTTGTGTCATCAAAAATTAAATGCATTTTCATTCTCCTTGACTTGCTCCAGATTCAACATATGGCTACATGATGTAATTCTACAAGAGGTTGGTTGGCAGCTTTCTGATCCGTCTAGGCTGTCTACCAAGGACATTCCTCCTAAAGAAATATTCCTACTGTTTAGGTTTCCAGATTCTTTTCCTAGGTGTGTTATGTTTGGAATTCTATCATTTACCTGTTTAGATAGGGTGGAGTTAATAAGAGGCAGCTTCATTATTTATAGGCATATGTTTTTCTCCACCACATCTTTGGTCATAAACCAAAGAATATTTATTTTACACATTGTTCATTACTTGTTTGCTAATTTGTCTACTCCTTGTCCTTTGTGGACTGGAATCAGTAGAGGTAATGTATTGGAAATATCTCTTTTGCTTTGCTGAAGGCTTACCTCAAATCCAGATGCCCATATCACAGGTGCATAATAAATACTTTTCATAATAATAATGACAATGACAAAGAAAAATAGCAATAGCCATAATTGGGCACTCCAGTTATCTACCCACTTTATTCAAACAAAAATCTATCCATAAACAGTATAAGAGGCTATTTTCATGGCTCTGGCTTCAATATTAAAAACAAATTAAGCAAATGTAATCAGAGCAAGTGAGTAATTTGTTCACTACGGTGGGTGAAAAAGCTGCCTATTCCCAATGTGAGCTAAACATTTATCTGTCCCAGATGAAATGAGGGTGAGAGCAATGAATGCATATCAATTGGTGACTGTTTGGAGGACAGCACTAGAGAAAGTTACATAGGATCCCAGAATGGCCCAGGGAAAGGAAATCACTGAAGTACAAAGAACAGTGAGAAAAGAAGAGGAAAAGTGATTAAAAAGAAAAAAGGTTCAAATGAGTATACACTGGTAGAAAAAAAATCTATAGAAAGATGGACTCGGTGTGCAATCAGTCAGTCTAAACCCACTCCCAACCTCCCAAACTCAGTGAAGCTCACCTAATGCACCGTCCATGGTCATTAAT